TCTCTGAAATCAAGAGAACTGTTAACAAGGAATAGTTCCATGTATTGAAATCCTACTTTTAACAGAAAAACCATAGGGTGGAAAAAAAGCTAGTGTTTAGCTTGTAGAGTTTGATCCCTTGAATACCAATGGTACTTGCCTATAATCCCAGCATTTAGGAAGTGGAGGCAGGAGGATTTGAAGTTCAAGGTCAGGCCAGAGTACAAGATACTGTCTCTAAAAAAAAAAAATCCGAACACTTGGAAGATTGAGTAGACAAATCTCTGTGAGTTCAAGGGCAGCCTGATCTCTATAACAAGTTCCACCTAGGTATGTATGAGACTCTGTTCCCAAAACAAAAACAAAGAAAATGTAGTGATTGTTGGTAAATGTCACAAAATGATTTCTTTAGAACTTTCTAATTATTTGTGTGTGCCACACGCTTGAGGGGGCCAGAAGCATCAGATCCTCTGGAGCTGGCGTTAAGCAGTTGTGACGGTGGGAACAAACAAGTGCTCTTAATTGAAAAGCAATCTCTTCAGCCCTCATTTAGAATGTTCAGGAGCTAAATAAGAATGTTATCACATTCTTGCTCAAAATTTTGTTTAAGCTAGTAGTTTAATGCCAGTGTCATGACCAAAATTCTGACCTTTCATATAAGGATGCTGAAAGAGGAACTCACGTCTCATGAAACGAAATATGTGCATGAACTGGGCCGGTACACATCTGTAATCCCACCAATTAGGAGGCAAAAGCTGGAAGGTCACAAGTTGAGGTTAGTTTATTCTACATAGTGAGTTCTTGTCTCACCCTTCCCTTACCAAAGATGAGTGTATAAACATATTACTGTCATTCAGTTAGCCATCGTATATACCAGTTCTGCTAAATTACCCTTGCACAATAAAGAAGGGCACATGCCATTTGGTCTCTTGATCTTTATTAAAAATCCTGAATTGTAGAGGTTCATAGCTTGGACAGAATAATCATTGATGTTTCTCCAATTCTGTTGTTCACATAAAACCATACAATGTGATGTTATTATCAAGTACCTCTATCTATAACCCTTTTGGAGGGCTGTTTTTGTTCTGTAAGGTTGTCATATAACCATACAAAAGCCTCACACACCAAACAAACATGTTCTTAAATTCTGAGATAACAGCCTGTTAGATCCATCTAATAAGTCTGTTAGATATGTCCAGTACTCGATACAAAAATATTATAGAGAAAGTAGCACAGAGTACAGCACAGGTGATTATAAACAGACAGACAAGCACATCAAAAGGGAAGATGACAATTTTTATTGTTACAAAACAAAATTTTTAAACTTCAGTCATTTGAGTAATTGCAAGAGCAGACTAAGGGCTTAATCCTCACACAGGCACCAAGTCAGGCACAGTAGGTAGCTACAAATCATAAGAAAAGGGTTTCTTTCCTACCTAGAACACTCATTCATGCTTTGGAATTTTAGGCTAAACCCATCAAACCTAACCAGTTCTCATTAATCTTGTTTTCTTTTAAAATGGGCTCTAGGTATTAACCAGTTCAGTAAAAATTAGTCACTAAATCCTGGCCTGAGAGATCCACATTTCCTTTAAAACAAACCGAAGAAACTAGTTAAGAAGTGTGTACATTTCTGAGAGCCCAACATGTCCCTTCAAGTGTAGACTTGCAGGCTTAAACCTCAGTTTCACCTAACGCATGTGGGAGAAATGGAGGCGAAGACCATCACCTGAGGAGGGCCAGAGCTCCAGCTCCAGCACAGACACTCTTCCCCGGGCAGCAGGAAAGGAGGTAGCAAGGACTCAGGCTGACATCTGAAGCACTAAGCTAATGTGCCGAGAAGAGGGGAGCCTCAGGAAGCACAAAATGCCATCTACCTGTGCAGTCCACAAACCTGAGGTTCCCATGTCAATATTTAAAGGGCACAGTGGCATGTGTGACAAGGCAGAAAAAAAGCAATACTGTTCTGGGGCTGCTTAAGAAATCCATGTTTTCTGCCTAACCAGGCTTAGTGCCTATGTACTTTTCCCTTGCACCGGAAAACAAGTTTTAAATCTCTACCCCCACACCTCCACGCCCTCATAATAATCCTTAGTAAACAACTTGGCTAGCATATTATTGTTTCAAGGAAGCATAGAATTAGAGGTATGTGAGAAGTGTATTTATTGAAGGGAAGACTCATTAAGTTCTAGGATTCCAAATATTAAGAATATCCCAGAACTAAAACCATCAAGTATCAAATCTACCCTATCTGAATTCTGGCAATAAATTGGTTCAGATGCAATCGACTGAATTACTACTGGAAAATAACACTTTCTATTCCACATACTATGAAATCTAATTTAACCAACTGCTAAATTTAAACCTAGTAAGTCATGAGTTGTGCATATGTAATTATATGTATTTAACAAGTTGCTGCCATGGCAAGATTTCTAAACAAATAAGATTATGAATAATTAGATGGCATCTGTTAGAATCACTGAAAAATTAGTTGGAAGAAATAAATACAGTATTTGGAGGTAATACTCCCCCACATCCAGTTGACTGCTATCTATCTACTTTACATATACATCTGTGAGAGGATTAACTGCACAGTTTATTCTAATAAGGTAGGCCAACAATGAATATAACATCTACTCATTCTACAGTCAGAGCTATAGTACTGTAACCAGAATTTTCACAAATGGTTTAAAGATTGGAAGTTCCTAACATTGAAAGCTACAGCTTTAGCTTTGTCCCTTGACTACCTAAATCTATACCCAAAGCAATGAAGTTATCATTCATGAAGCAGCAGTCAATGAGCAAGAACATGCCAGTAAGCAAAGGTGCTAGAGTGCTGTCATGTGTAAACAGTTATTCAAGATCATGAAGTAATGACTAGTGTTCCTGGAGATGGCTGAGGGGTTAGAGCTGACTTTTTTTTTTACATCCCCCCCCCAATGTTCATCTTGGATTCTTAAGTTATAGAACAGCATCTGGTTCCATGTATAAGCCAAAATATTTGCAGCACTTCAACTGATGATAGGAAGTGTTCAACCAAACAACTTTCAAAGTCCCACACTAGTAGACCTAAGGGGTTTTCATAAATAGCAAACATAATGAATTAATTACCTTGTTACAGTGAATAACTTGTACTTCATACAAAGTTTTTACATGTAATTACCATGTACTTCCAAGATTTTTAATTAAAAACAAGGAGGAAAAAATGTGTTTAATCATTTACAGTTACTTTGTTTGAATTCCAGGCAGTATACACTCAGCCCAACTTCTTGTGGTTTGAATTTATAGATTTTTATATGAACAAAAAATGTTGTATTTCCTCTTCCACAGAAAAAGATGATGGTTAAGATGTTCTTAAATGCCATCACTTAAAATTCTGTATATTCACTTAAAAGATTAAAATAAATGACCTAGCATAAAAGTTGTATGATGATTATTAACATAAAATGGAGAAAACCAAAACATGATGCTACATGCCTATGCTAAATACAGAATGTGTAACGTTTTCCTATTTTGCATTGTCAACCACATAAAGTTTACACTTGCAAAAGACAGAATGATAGCACACAACTATATTGCTTTTTAAAAAATCCAAAATCTGCACACATTCCAAGCTTACTTCAAACATTTTATCTTTTTTCAAATGACAATCTGATATATAACCACTATTTTAAATTGTGTCAAGTGTAAACAGATAATCCTTTCAAACTTCAAAGTCCCTAAAATGTATAGTGTTGATTAATTCTGCTGATGTGATATAATTCCAATGAAATTTTTGTGATCCCCTTTGTACTTAGTTACCTTGTAGAGGTAGGCCTTTCACAAGTGCCATCCAAGTCATTTCACTTATAATCTTGGCAACACACACATACCATTCTTAAGAGTGTAAGTGTTTTAAATGCAGACATAAGTTGTCTTTAAAAATGCTTAATTTCAAAAGGGAAATCTTTGGAAATAATTTCAGTAACTCAAAGGTTCTAAAGGTTAAGTTCATTTTGTCACTGCATTTGCTAGTATTTTATTATCATGGAAATATAAAAAGAACCATTTGTTCTCATTAGAGCTCCCATATGTCACAGAAAAATAAAAGCCCAGATATTTGTAGACATCATAAAATTTAAATTTCATGCAATTTAATGGCATGAAAGCTGGAGTTCAAAGAAGCTGAAGGGCTCTTCATAGCTTTGTCCATAAGACAGCAACACATTCATTTCTGCAGTTGGCATATCACTGCTAAGAAAACATTTTTGTGTCTAGTTGTCTAGGCTTTTCTTTTCTGGGGAGCAAGATTACAGGGATGGGCCACACCAATAAACACACAGTTAAAAAGTATCTTAGGAATCACGATGTAAAAGGCCAAATCTCATAGATGGAAGCACATATTCAACATGAAGGAGGCTTCTGACAAACCCAGAAACTGTCTATTCTACTTCCCATTTATTCTCACTAAAAATTTCAGGTATGATAGCTGTAGTAGAAAGTCACCCTTTGACTAAAACCACCACACCAGTGCTGCACTGTGGTTCATCCAAATCACGGTTAGCAAATTACAACTTATGTTTAAGAAAACTCAATTGAGCTAAAAACCTATTCTGTGCTTGGTTCTATTTGTTACTGTTCACTTTAGTGTGAGAAGTTTGTGACGATTCTGTGTTCATTTAGTCACTGGATTGAGAATTGGCATGAAGAAGCAAGGCTCTTTCACCCTTTAAAGTTACCAACAAAGTGGGTAACTTCTGGAACTAGCATGTGTAACTGAAAGGGATTCTTACTAGATGCATGCAGCTCTTAGAAAAACTAAAGGGCGTTCGCCAGTCTCAACATGCTTTCTTTACTGTGAATTCCATTAATGTAACAAGCTAATGGAATTGTCTGTAGGGGTATAGTTTCATTAAGTTTGTACTTATAAATATGACAGTAATGCTGTCTGTTCATTTCCAAACAACTTACTGTGTATAAGAAATCATATTAAAATGTAAATTGGCAGGAAACAACCAAAAAACGTAGTTAGTAATGCAGTGTCACAGTTGCATAAAGATGTTTATGTATGCATTAACCACCAAAATAAGGGATCAAACAACAAATTCTTTCCTTTAATACAAACTTGAGCAGTGTTTGTAAATGCCCCATTTAAAGTGAGTGGGTAGGGAGTTTAGAAAAATCCAAGTAATAAAATGTATTCAATTACTTGGCAGTTAAAAAGCTAATGCAACAATGTTACATTGAGATAAAAAACAGTATTCAAAAGCAATTCAAATACCGAAAAGGGTTTCAAATTGAATATTTTATTAACATGGTAGTTGTCTTCTTAACATGTGCACACACACTCGCACACTCAGAATGATCTGCCTGGGGGGAAAAAGACTAACTATGTCTAAGGGGAAAATGAAAAATAAAAAAAAAATTCCTGTAGGTTTTCATTATTGTAGGCAATTATGTCCACATCACTTACAAAGCTATTGCCAAATCTGTCCAAGAAAGCGAAGTTTGAAAGGGGGGCAAAATCTTGGGGAAAATTCAACAGTGGCATAGCAGAGCTCTCAATATGAGAAAGCTGACATAATGTGGACTTTTGCTGTGAATTTTCTTTGCAAAATATGGGGAGAGTTTTGTCAATGGGCAGAAAATAAGAGAAGGCGGTGTGAAGTAGGCTTTTGCAGTCAATATTCCTCACAGTATTGTGCAGGGTCATCAAGAAAATGCTTAGTCTTTCTCTGGAACCAGTTTCAGAACCTTCCCAATTGCAATGGTCTTACCTAGAAATGAAATTTTGAAAAAACAAAAACAAAAACAAACTTTCAGTAGTTAACAGCAAGTTCATGTAATGTATTAAGCCTCACTAACTAAAAGAAAATTTTGCCATTGTGTAAATTCCCGATTTAATAGCTCTACTTACCCAAACCATGGTATCTGGTTAGGTAATTTTAAATGAGTCTTACTGGGAAATGGCATATCCATACAACAGAATACCAATTAATGATAAAATATTAATGAACATGGATAAACTTTAAAAATCCATTACATGAAACAAAACATCTGTCTGTATAGGTAGTAAAAAAAAAAAAAAAACTAACCCTGTCTCTAAGCACTGAAAAAGGGGGCGCATACAATTCAGTGAAAAGATTCTTCCAGGAACATGCCTGTGGACTGAAGGGGTTGTAAGTATAAACTCACAGGGATTGTGAAAATCCTAAAAGCCACATTATCTTCATTTCTTTTTTTCTATATGCTAGATTTCATCAGGCTTTAATGGGTAACAAATTATTTAGAGCTGGGCACAGTATAAATGACTGTAATCCTAGCACTTGGGATCTTGACTTCAAGGCTAGCTGGGCCTTACATAGAAATGATGCCTCAAGGGCTGGAGAGATGGCTCAGCGGTTAAGAGCACTGACTGTTCTTCCAGAGGTCCTGAGTTCAATTCCCAGCAACCACATGGTGGCTCACAGACCAGTCCAGTGAGATCTGGTGCCCTCTGCTGACATGCAGGCAGAAGACTGTAAACATAATAAATAAAATCTTAAAAAAAAAAAAAATGATGCCTCAAGAAAAAAAAAAAATCCCATTAAACTATTAAATATAACAAATGTCACTATCAACAAATTTAGAAGATAAGGTGTTTAAAGTGAAACCATGACCCAGTCAATCTTTGGGGAAGAAAGTACAAGCAACAGTTTTTATACTGTATTCTCTACCATAGCTTAACAATATTGGACAGTACCATGTTAAATATGTGTCTGTATTTCTGCTGAACCACAAAGATTTATGTAGTTTTCTAGTTGCCAGACACTGTACTCAGGAGGCCAAAGCAATAGGCAAACCTAGGCTCCATTGAGACCCAGGCTCAAACAACAACACAGGGTGCTAGGGATACAGTTTGGCCTGTAGATTGCTACCTCGAATGCATGAAGTGCTAACTTTGATTCCCAGCCCTTGGGGAAACAGAGGCAGGAAGACCACAAGTTCAGGAACATCAGATCATCATAAGCCACACAGTAAGTTAAGTTTGAGGATTGCTTGGACTACATGAGACCTCTTTTTTTTTTTTTTTTTTTTTTTTTAAGAGAGACAGGGTTTCTCTGTATTGTTTTGGAGGCTGTCCTAGACCTCTCTCTGGAGACCAGGCTGGCCTCAAACTCACAGAGATCTGCCTGCCTCTGCTTCCCAAGTGCTGGGATCAAAGGCATGTGCCACCAACACCCGGCTGAGACCTCATTTTACAAAAACAAAACTTTGGGGGCTGGACAGATGGCTCAGAGGTTAAGAGCACTGTCTGTTCTTCCAGAGGTCCTGAGTTCAAGTCCCAGCAACCAAATGGTGGCTGATAACCATCTTTAATGAGATCTGATGCCTTCTTCTGGCATGCAGGCATGTATATAGATAAATCACTGTATACATACTAAATAAATAAATCCTAAAAAAAAAAAAAAACTTAAAAAAACTAAGGCTAGATACATTAGCCCACAAAGAAATGTTCCCTATAATCATTTCATTTTCATACCAAGGAATTTTTAGACTGTTAGAGGAAAATCTATAGCTATTCTGCATTAATCAAAGGTAGGTAGAAATGGATGCCCTCAAGGATGTGAACTGCACATTAAACAAACAAAAAATCAAGTCATATAACCCTTGTATTCTTACTTCTATAGAAGTCTTCATTATAGAAATGATTTTAGTAAATTCAATTTGTTCCTAGTGCACTGTTATAAAATACTAAAATTAAGTCTACATAGAGCATTACTGGTAATAAATGGTAATACCATTTGTTGTTTAATATATACATGTGACTATTACAGAACACAAATCTGGGTTTCCAAAACCTTCCTGCTGTAATACAATAGGACAGTACTGAGGCAATGCTGATTACTATACAGCCTGACACCAGAAACACCAAAATCCTCTTACCCTCATCTCGCAAGGTAAAGCGTCCCATCTGAGGGAAGTCTTTAAAGGTCTCCAAACAAATGGTCCCTGCTGTCCTCAAACGTGCAATGCATACTTGATCTTGTTTCACAAAACGGGGTCGAGTCTTACTTTTTTCTCCTGATTTTTTGTCTACCAAGCAGATTAAGGCCTAGCCAATAAAAGAGGATAAGAAAAAAAAAATTTTAATGTTAAATATAAGTAACTCCAAGAATAAAATGTAACCTGAATATAGTACTGAATACCTGTAACCCTAATAGTTGAGAAGAAGGAGTCAGGAGGATCATGAGTTCCAAGCCAGCCTAAGCTACACAGTAAGATCCTGTCTTAAAACAAAAACAAAAGACAGCAAGATAGATTTTTCAGGCAAAGGTACTTGCCACATAAGTCTCTTGACCCGAGTCTGATTCCTAAGCAGAAGTAAAGTGGAGAAGAAAGCTAACTCCAGAAAGTTGTCCCCTGACTTCTACACATGTACCATGACATACTTACCCCCCTCCCCGAAAAAGAAAAATAAGTATAAATGTATCTCTACCATTGATCAGAAACTATCAAGATGCAACATTCTTAAAAATTAAGCAAACAAACCAGTTACCCTAAAACCAAACTCACTGTTATTTCGACTTCCTCGATACAGGTATGGATATGCAGCACCGCATTATACCCTGGGCAGATGATGGATTTGTGCTCTATAATCACTATCTGTCAAATTAAAAACAAAACAACAACTCTTCAACTTTAACTTCAATGTTCTAAAGGTATAATATTCCAAGAAGCAACAGAAATCAATAACTTTTTGTATGTGCCATTTGTTGACAGGTTAGCTCAAGTTGCTCAACCAAAGCTCACCCTTAAACATTCCACCTGTATATAAATTGGTAAGTGCCTGGTTTATCTCAGTTCAACAGGTAGACTCTAAGAAGCCTTCACGCATGGAATTAATGTGACAAATTCCCTCCCACAAATTACCCAAATGTGATCTTCCCATAGCTCATTCATTTCTCAATAGCCAAGGTCCAGTTAGTAAACAAGTGAATGTACTTGACATTAAAAAACAAAACAAAACCAAAAAACCTTAGTCATACTTTTCCAGGGGAAGGGTTAAGATTTATTTATGTGTATGAATGTTTTGCCTGGATGTTTGTACGTGCACCACATATATGCATGTTTGTGCTTAAGGAGGCAAGAAAAGGGTGCTGGATCCCCTGGAACTGAAGTTGCAAGGCAGTTGTAACCTGCAGGTACTTGAAATTGAACCCAGATCCTCTGGGAGAGCAGCAAGAATTTTTTTTTTTTTTTTTTTTTTGGTTTTTCGAGACAGGGTTTCTCTGTGTAGTTTTGAAGCCTATCTTGGCACTTGCTCTAAAGACCGGGCTGCCCTCGAACTCACAGAGATCCGCCTGCCTCTGCCTCTGAGTGCTAGGATTAAAGGCGTGAGCCACCAACGCCCGGCTGCAGCAAGAATTCTTAATGACGGAGCCATTTCTCCAGCTCTGGTTTACCAGCACTCAAAGAGTTCTGTATGTTATTAGTGTTTTGCTACCACTCTCCCAAGAATGTCAAATTAAATATAACTGTGACCCAAGTCTGAAAACATACTGGCTCTGCGATAGCAAACAAATATGCTGTAATCAAAAATCAAGGAAATTTTAAACTAAATATTTATTGGTGCTATATCACTGTCTGCCTTTACAAAGTGAATAATACTCTAAATTTTATCAATAAACCAAAAAATAAAATGGAATTTACAAAAAATACCACCTAATAAATTCTTACAGTATCTTGAAATTGTGAGATAATATGGTTGTGATGTACAAATGAGTTTGACTATTTCAGTTCCTCTGCTAACAGTTATGTGGCACATCACAAATACTCAAGACAAAAGGCATTGAAATTCTAACCACTTAGGTTCTAACAACCAAGAAGATGAATTCAGTAACTTGATTACCTGGGCATCAAATGTGCGTCCAGAATGACAAAGATTAGTAAGATCACAAAGGATGAATCCTGGAAGAATCTCCTCTTCTTCAATTCCTTTCAGTCGGATTTTGAGGTTCTCACCTGGAGCTACAGAATCCGTTTCTACATCATCAGAAAGTATTCCAAGAACTTCCACGTTGTGCTTAAAAAGAAAATTAGAGGTTTTCTGATGAATGCACTGAATTATAGGACATAAAATGATCTCAATGTTCATTTGTTAAGAAGCTACAAATTCATAAGCCAAAATAAAGATTTGGAGGGAAAGAAGTTCCAGGGACTTAGGCATGTCAGACAAGCATTCTACCAGTCTGTACAAAGTCCCAACTGTCACAACTTGTTATTTAATATTAAATTCTAACAACTTCTAAATAGAAACAGAACAAACTTCATTTTCAAAATGACAGCACTGTGATGGTTACTATTGTCAACTTGACGACATCTGGAATCACTCAAGGCAAATGCCCAGGCACACCTGTGAGGGCTCAGTTAGTCCCTGACCACGCTGGCACAGAATTACTGATGTGGGAAGACCATCTTTACTGTGGCTGGGATCATTCCCTGAGGTAGGAACCTACACTATAAAACGGAGAAAGGGAGTTGACACTAGCACTCATCATTCTTCCTGATTGTGGATGCATTCAAATTCTGTAGCCTTGCTTCTTCTGCTTAATTAAGATCTGAAATAGCCGGGCAGATCTCTGTGAGTTCGATATCAACCTGGTCTACAAGTGTTAGCTCCAGGACAGCCTCCAAAGTCACAGAGAAACCCTGTCTGAAAACCAAAACCAAAAAAAAAAAAAAAAAAAAAAGCTGAAATAAAACCTTCTTCCCTTGAGTTGCTTCACTCACTCATACCAAAAAAAAAAAAAAAAAAAAAAAAAAAAGACATTTACATATGCTTTGCCTGCATATATGTATGTTCTCCACTGGTGCCCTCAAAGGTCTGGATTGACAACATCAGATTCCCTGGAACTGGAGTTATGTTTTGTTGGCAACCACTGTGTGGATGGCTGGGAACTGAACATAGGTTCTCTGCAAAAGGAACAAGTGCTTTTTTTAACCACTGACCCATCTCTCCAGTCCCCTTGATTTGCTTTTAAAAAATTACTTTTATTTATGTATAGGTGCTTGTCTCTGTGTGTAGAATGCCACACATGCAATGTCTGTGAAGGCCAGAAGAGGACACAGGAACCCCTAGGGCAGGAATCAGAGGCCATCCTGAGTGGCTTGATGTGGGTGGAGCAAATTCTCTTCAAGTGCTGAGTCACCTCTTCAGCCCTCCCTTGAGCTGTCACAGGAAACTAAGAAAAATACTGAACTTAACGTAAATTTCAAATTAAAAAACTTTACTGCCCACAGCAGGTCAATCCTGAAATAAGCATGTGTTCCTCAAAGTTATTTTAACAACTGAATTTTAAAAGCATATTGTTGGGGTTGGAAAGATGCTTGCAGCTCTTACAAAGGACTCATGAACAATGAATTCCAAGCACCAACTAGTGGCTCACAACTATAACTCCAGTTACAGGAAAGCCAATGCTCTCTGCTGGCTGCTGTGGGCACCAGGTGTACATGATGCATAGAAGCAGGCCAAGCATTCATATATACAAGATAAAGATAGGCAAATCTCTTTTGTTTTTGGTTTTTTCAGGATAAGGTTTCTCTGTGGCTTTGGAGGCTATTCTGGAACTAGCTCTTGTAGACCAGGCTGGTCTCAAACTCACAGAGATCCACCTGCCTCTACCTCCCGTAAGTTGGGATGCTGGGATTAAAGGCGTGCGCCACCAATGCCCTGCCGGCAAAAGTACATTGTTTAATGAGTGCAAGATTTCCTTGTGGGAAAGGAACTAGACAGTCACATGCTGCAATGATCAGCACGGTAGCACTGTGAATATACTAAACGTCATTGGTGAAGTTATCTTCTCTTACGTCACTCCTTCCTTTGTTCCCTCCATGTTTAATACTACAGCTCTGCATGGGAAAGACAGAGGAGTGACACAGGCACTGGAACCCCAGGAGAAAATGATTATTTGGGTAAAAGCAAGAGTCAACCAAAGTCATTTTCCTAGAAAGTACTAAGAATATCAACATGTATCTTGGAATCATTTCATAATACCTCAAAGTAGAAATCAAATCTAACTTAAAGCCCACTAACAAAGATTTTTGTTTTTCATTATCTCTGTGTGTGTGTGTGTGTGTGTGTGTGTGCGTGCGTGCGTGTGCGCGCGCGCGCGCGCACGCACGCACGCACGCACGCACGTGTGAATGATGGAGCACATGTGGAGAAAAGGTCAGGGAACAATTTTCTCTCTGTTCACTTTAACATGGGTTCTAGGTAGCCTTTTACCCACTAAGCCAACTCTGCCAGTCCTGAAATATTTTTTTTTTCTTTTTATTGGTTTTCAAAGATAGTTTATTTGTATAGCCCTGGCTGTCCTAGAACTCCCTTTTGGACCAGGCCTCCCAAGTACTGGGGTTAAAAAATTGTGTGCTACTACACCCAACAAAAAAAATTTTTTTTTTTTGTTTTTAAAGTTATCCAAACTGGCCCCAAGCCCCTGTATAACCTACTATGAATGACTTTGGGGGACTGGGGGTTTAGCTTGATGATAAAAGTGCCTGCCTAGGGCTGCAGAGATAGATGGCTCAGTGGTTAAGAGCACTAGACTGCCCTTCCAAAGGACCTAGGTTCAATTCCCAGTATCCACATGGCAGCTCACAACTGTCTGTAACTCCAGTTTCTGGGGATCTGGCACCCTCACACATACATACATATATACACACATACATTCATACATACATACATACAGGCAAAACACCAAAAAACAACAACAAAAAAAGTGCCTGCCTAGCTAGGGCCAAGGTCCTTAGCATGGAGATGGGTGTTTAACAACAAACAAAAACAAACCCCCAAAAGATTAAAGACTACAGACCCAGAGACACACTAGAACTGAACCTGAGTTTTCTTCCATGCAAGGCTTTCTTAGTAATTTGTTTTGTGAACCTTTAAAGAAGTTACTCAACCACTCCAAATCTCTTACTTTATTTGCTCTTATGGATAAATGGGACAGGTTGATAGTTTCAAACTTTCATGTTGCACCTTCTAGCACTAACAGCTTGAAGGATCAGCTGACCCTTTGTCAATAAAAAACTCATTTGTTCTTTCACTGAGCATTAATAAAATAATTATTACTCATAAAATTTGGTGGAAGTTCCTAAGTTTTTGAAAAGTCTGGAATCTAACATTTTCAAGAACCACTCTTGAGAAAATGCATACTAAACTCTTACCTTGTTTGGCATCATTACAAGCTGCTGGCCTTTACAAATAGATCCAGATTCCAGCTTTCCCAGGACCACAGTCCCCATATCCTATTCAAATTTAGAATAAAAAAATTAAAAACCTTCAGACTTTTATTGCTTATTATAGCAGGTGAATAGCCCCACGTGAAATTCTATAGGCTTTATCTATCAAGGAAAGTCTTTAGCTTAATAAGTGATATGATTACTCTTTTTTTTAAAGTCTAACTTTTTTCTTATACAACTTACTTATTTTTATTTAATGTGCATTAGTGTCTTGCCTGCATGTATGTCTGTATGAGACGGTTGGATCCTAGAGTTACACACAGCTGTGAAAACTACCAGGTGGTGGGTGCTGGGAATTGAACCTGGGTCCTTTGGAAGAGCAGTCGGTGCTCTCAACCACTGAGCCATCTTGCAAGCCCCTCATGATTATTCTTAAACACAGAGGAGGTGATAAGTAGTCCATAATAATTTGTATCATAGGCCTCAGTACTATTATATTAAATATAAAGGTTCAAAAAAAAGCTTCATGCAGAAAACAATCCAAAATTTTATGTTGGGAAGATCTGAATTGCTTGTACAAATTTAGAAACTTATTTGTTTGTAAACTTTAGAGTGGAGCTAATTGAAGGACAAAAGACTTTAAAGTAGGTAAAATATTACATGACTTGTTACTGTCAGAGTTTAAAGATTAAGTTGAGGGCTTGGGATATATCTCAGTGGCAGACAGCTTGCCTGATATGCACAAGGCCTGTGGATGGAGTTTCAAGTCCCTGTATTCAGAAAAACAAATTCCAAAACAAGTTGGGAATCCAATCAAAACCAATGAAGTGTTTTGTTTTGTTTTTGTAGGGGTTTGAGATGTGTGGAGTTGTTTTTTTTTTGGAGACAGGGTCTCACTATGTAGCCATGGCTAGCCAGGAATTTTCTATGTAGACCAGACTAGCCCTGAGTTAAAAGAGCCACCTGTCTCTGCCTCCCAAGTGCTGAGATTAAAAGTATGCACTATCACACCCAACAAAGTGCACAATGACAACATAAGCTCTCATGTATTGGTACTATTATAACTTAATGCACAGTTCTTGCCAGGCTACTTATCAATACAATTTTAATGCAAAAAATCTTTCAGAACTGTCTTTTCATTGTATTAATATTTCAGTTTAAAAAATGACTAGCTTACTGAAAATGTCCAAGCTAAGCTTGCTGAGTAAATCACGGCCTTCTATAAGCAAATACTCAAAAAGGATAATAAACATTATTAGTAATATATTTTTATGAATCACAACAAAGCACAATGATTTCAACACCCCTGAAATCCAGTAACCTTAATATTTGAGGTACCTTGTACTTATCGACAATTGGCAGCCTGATTGGTCCATCAACTGATCTATTGAAGTTTGGCAAATTATCCAGATATGGAATAAATGGTAATCCACTGAGAACAGAACAATATCCATTAAAGAAAGTTAACACAATAGTTTTTTTTTTAAAATCTAAGAAGATATATATTGTAATTTAAACAATAAATGATCATATATAACATTTTATTTTTCTAATGTACATTTTTTCATTTATATATTTCCATTTCATGAAACTTACACCCCAGAAAACTAAAGTAAGACAAAAATGCCTTACTTTTAAAAAGCTCCCTAGGCCAGATATGGTGATATAACCCTGTAATCCCAGCACTTTGGAGGTTCAGACAAGAGGTTAATAAGTTCCAGGCTAACTGAGGCTACATAGTGAGATTCTTGTCTCAAAACAGAACGAAACAAAACAAAAAAACTATAAACATACTGATGTTTATCAACTGTCTATGTGTATGAGTTTGTGCAGAAGAGTTCTCTCCTTTAATGATCTATCTGGGCTCTGGAGAAAGATCTCAAGCCATCATGCTTGGCAGTAAGCTGACCTGCTTGACCTGCTGACCCATGCTGATCTAGCTTCCCCATACACTTGTTAAATCTAGAAAAAAGTGACTTGTAGCAGCCTACATTATAATATTAACTACACAAGGACAAGGGACATAGGATTTTGCTATGTGTTCTAGACTTGCCTCCAACTCAATCCTCTTGCCTCAGTTCTCAAGTGCTGGGATTATAGACATGTACCACAATGCCCAACTCTCTACTTCCTAACTTTATGGACTATGAAATTTAATTCACATGAGATCTGGATTCCATAATACAATTTTCCCTTTACTCTGACTATGAGGCACCACTGTCTAGAGAGGCTGCTTGTTTTGCAGTAATTTTATAAACCGATTCTAACATTTGTGTGGAAGTTCAAGAGATTCACAATAGTTAAAAAAAGAAAGAAAACCAATTTTTTTCTGACCAATTTCAAAGTTCTACAGTAAGACTGTACAGTCTTAAGATAAACAGTTAAACATAAGGGAAATGAGGGAAAAGCAGACAACATTTATGACCATCTGATTTCTAATGAGGATGATAATGCAACAGAGAAATTATACCAGAATAATGGGATACCCATTTACCAAAGCCAATGAACCCAGCTAGGTAAAGCCTATAAACCTTACACAAAAATGAACTGAAAACTAAATATAAAAGGAAAAAAGTTTTCTTAAAATTTAGATTGAAAAAACACAATGTGTTTTGTCTGTGTGTGTGCATGTGCATGCCTGCTGTCCGAGGAGGGTGAGGAGAGCATCACATCCCTTGGAATTGAATTGAAGTTGAGCAAGGGTTTGAACAATCGTGTGGGTATGGGAACTAATTTCCAGGTCCTCTGTAAGAGCAACAAGTGCTCTTAACCGATGAGCCATCTCCTTCCCTGAAAACCTAAAATCTTAATTACTCTAGAAACTAAACCTGCTTCATCTTCTTCTGTAGGGGTAAATCTTTGTGACCTTGGATCAGCCAATGTGTCTTAAAATTTACTTATTTATTGACTGTATATGTATCATGGTACCATGCACATGTAGAGCTCAGAGGACTTGCAGAAGTTTGTTTTCTCTTCCTACCATGTGGGTTTCAGGGAGTGAACTCAGGTCACCAGGCTTGGCAGCATGCACAATAATATGATGAGCCATATCACTAGCTACAGTTTATAAAACAAAACACAGATTTGGTGACTCACATCTATAATTCTAGGACTGTTAGGAGAAGATGGGAGGTAGAGATAGAAGAGTCACATGGAAGATCATGAGCCAGCAGGAGTGTAGTGAACAGAAGAGGCCCTATCTAAGCAAGGAGGGTGAGGGCCAAACTCTAATACTGTCTTCTGACCTCCATATAGTCACCACAGAACATGGGCCACCTGCACTCATACACACAATGAAAAAGAGGAGCAGAGGGTTGAGGACAGTTCAGTGATACAGAACATGCTCTGTACGGGCAGGGCTCTGGATTCTACCCAACACAATAAGCAGGAATGAAAGATGGGGAAGGTAAGAATGAACTTAATATAGAGCAGAAAAAATACTTGTTAATTACCCAGTAAGGAACTTGTGTGTTTGAATGAGTGTGGCTGAGAAATTGAACTCAGGGTCTTCATGCTTGTAAGGCAAGTAATCTATTGACTCGAGCTATAGGCCAAAGCCCCATAAAGAAATCAGGTGGTTGTGGTGCTTGCCTTTAATCCCAGCACTTAAGAGGCAAAGGCAGGAGGATCTCTGTCACTTTGAGGCCAGTCTGGTCTACAGAGTGAGTTCCAGGGCTGTTACACAGAGAAACTCTGTCTTGAAAAACAAAAAGCAAGCAAGCAAACAAGCAAACAAACAAAAAAACCAAAAAACAAAAGCAAACTCATATGACTCAAAAAAAGAACATACAGGGCTGGGGAGATGGCTCAGTGAGTAAACTGCCTGCTACGCAAGCACAAGGATGTGAGTCAGGACCCCAACACCACTGTAAAAGTCAGGGGTGGCATGCATCTGTAATTCTAGCACTGGGGAGGAAACAAATTGATTCCAGGGTTCACTGGCCAGTCATTCCAGACAAATCAGGTAGTTTCAGGTTCAGTGAAAAACTCTCAAAAACACCCAAACACCTCTGACCTGCACACACAAACATGGGCAAAGCACATCTTCATATTACACACACAGCATATACCAAACCTCCCTACACATTCCCCACAGAAGCATATAACACACACAAAACATCCCTCTGAACATTCATTCTATACATAAGCACACAACACACACCCCTGCACATTGCACATTACACACACACACTGTAAAAGGCAAAGGTCTGGTATTTTTAAAAACCAAGACTATAGGCAAAATTTCTTTCAATTACTATTTAGATATGGCCCTCCTCCTTTTAAAAAAATAATGAAAGGTTACTCACATGTACCAAGGGCAGAAATCTGATTGCTCTTTGAGATTTGCTCCCGTCAGCCCTGAGCAGGGCATAAAATGAATGTCCTTTTTGGGATTGAAGCCAACTTTTTTCAAAAATGGTACTAGTTTCTCTTTACATTCTTCATATCTATGAATATTTAGAAATAACACAATTATGCCAACTTAGCATTAGTTTTATCAGTAAATACATTAAAGCTTAGGAAAACTGGAAGAAAATTCAAACAATAACAGAAGAACCTTTTCTTCACTGACATGCCTGTAAAAAGCCAGCAGAGCATTGGAAGCTTACCTCTCGTTGCTCCAGTTTACCGTTGGATCATCCATCTTATTAATAAGCACAATTAAGTGCTTGACACCTGCTGTCTTTGCCAACATTGCATGCTCTCTTGTCTGTCCTCCTTTTTCAAATCCAGTTTCAAACTCTCCTTTCCTGGCAGAGATTACCTGTTCCAAGAAATCAAATAATTTATTCTTGGTCATTCATTTCCACCCCCTGCCCACTAAATCTAGCAGCAAAACATGTATACTTTAACTTCTGTAAGAAAGCTTCCTAAGGAAATGGGAGCACATGTGCTACAATGGACATGTCCAATCACGTGGTGTTCAAATGGTTTAGAGAACTGAGGGTTTGGGGTTGAATAAGTATGGTTCATTGGTAGAGTTATTTCCATGTGCCAATTATCAAAACAAACATGTTTTCTCTTCAACTTCCCTAAAACTAGGATATGTGGATATGTGCATATAGTCCACACATTCCGAATACTTTCTTCCAAGTGAAGGATGAGGGGAAATATGTGTTTAGCAATCTCAGGGCCCCAGGTTCAATCTCATATGTGTGCATACTTATGAATTTTGGTGCCTGCTAAGGCCAGAAGCATCAGATCCTCATGGAGTGTGAGCCCCCCAACTGGGGATGCTGAGAATCACCCCAGGTCCTCTGCAAGAACACTGAGCTACCTCTGCAGCCCCACTGGTTTAATCTCTAGTACTACAATCAAAATGAGTATATGACGATGCATACTTGTAATCATAGCATTTAGAGTCTGAGTCTGGGCAGGTGGTGGTGGCGCCCGCCTTTGATCCCAGCACTTGGAAGGCAGAGGCCAGCCTGATCCACAGATTGAGTTCTAGGACAGCCAGGACTATTTCACAGAGAAACCCTGTCTTGAAAAACAAGCAAACAAACAAACAAACAAGAGCCTGAGACAAAGGGCTAAGTTTAGGGACAGAATGTATTGTCAGGCAAGAAGGAGAAAGGGAGAAACAGGGCGTTAATTTCAATCTTTGGGTTTAGCATTTAAACAAACAAAACCCACTAAATTCGGACACAGAGATAACAGCAACAAGAAAATGTTTAATAGATTTTTTAAGTAAAATATAAGAGTTTTTGGGCATATAAGAGTGACAAAAAAAAGTGACAAAAATGAATACTATGACTGTATAGTGTTATAATGCACTACAACTTTTTGAGAGTGAATTAGAATATTAAAGTTAGGTTGTGGAGCACACCTTAAATAACAGGCAAGTAAATCTCTGAGTCTGAGGCCAGCCTGGTCTACATAAGGAATTCTAGGCTAGTCAGAGTTCCACGGTGAAACCCTGTAACAGTGGTAGAGCACAGGCACAGCAATATGCAAAGGCCTTGGGTTCAAGCCTACCAACGGGAAAGAAAAGATACATGTGGGATGTTGATAAAAATGTCCAGACCAGACTAGACCAGAAAATAAACAAAACAAAACATGGTGTCTTTCTTACCAGTACAGCCAAGTCAGCTTGAGAGGCACCACCAATCATATTTGGGACAAAGCTCTTATGGCCAGGAGCATCTAGAATTGTAAAATGCTTCTTTTCGGTTTCAAAATAAGCACGACCCACTTCTACTGTTTTACCCTTGTCTCGTTCTTCCTGATTTGTGTCTAAGGCCCAAGACAAGTACCTGGAAGGATTTAAAAAAAAAAAAATATGATTATCATTAAAAATATTCCTCTACCAATAAGATTGCAACTAAATGTGACATCAAGTTTCATCTCCACTATTCATCTGTGTCAAGGAAGACTAGTAAAATAAAAACAAGAAAATTGGGCTGGAGAGATGGCTCAGAGGTTAAGAGCACTGACTGCTCTTCCAGAGGTCCTGAGTTCAATTCCCAGCAACCACATGGTGGCTCACAACCATCCGTTATGAGATCTGGTGCCCTCTTCTGGTGTGCAGATATACATGGAAGGAGAATGTTGTATACATAATAATAAAAAAAATAATAAAGACTCATTGCTTTAAAAAAGCAAGAAAATTAAATATGCAGTTATGGTTCAAACAGAGCCAATACAACTAGTCTATAAGCAAACATTACACATTATTCATAAAAGTAAACTGACAACATAGGGAGAAAGAGAGGATAGTGAATGTCTAAGACCATCCTGAGCTGCATACCAAAAATTCTGTAAGAAAGAAAAGAAAAAAATGAAGAGTCATAATACTAACATTATGGTTTGAATTAAATATCTCCTGAAGTCTTAGACATGGGATATTTGGTCCCCAGCTGGTAGTGCTGTTTAGGGAGGCTTACAAGGTGTGGCCTTGTTGGAAGATGTATGTCACTGAAGGCTGGCATGGAGAATTTAAAGCCTTACACTTCAGGTTTGCTGTCAGCTTGCTTGCTCCAGGGACCATGACTGACTGCTGCCATGCTTTCCAGCCATGATGGATTCATACCCCTTTGAAAATGCAAGCCCAAATAATTTTCCGTTCTATGTTGCTTCTGGTTATGGTGTTTTATCACACAGCAATAGAAAAATAACTAATACAAATAATTCTAGTTTCGTAGAGTGATGTTATCCCTCCTTATTTTACTTTTCTAATTATATGACAGAGTACAATGATTATAAAAAACAGGATATTAAAGCCAAAGAGTGGTTCATACCCAATACCTGTAACCACTTGAAACCACCTCTAATTAAATTTGAGGCCAACCTGGGCTACAGAATGAGACCTCATCTCAAACAAACAAACAAACAAACAAACAAACAAACAAAAAACCCAAAATATCATTTTCCCACAAGGCACCATTCACAGCATGCTGGAACACCTGTAACTTACTATTAGCTACTGATAATGTACCACTGGTGGCACACGCCTTTAATCCCAGTACTCAGGAGTCAGAGGCAGATGGATCTCTGAGTTTGAGGCCAGCCTGGTCTACAGAGTGAGTTCCAGGACAGTCAAGGCTATCACACAGGGAAACCTTGTCTCAAAAAACTACTCAACCGCCCTCCAAAAAAACCCAAAAAAGAAAAAAAAATTCTGATACTACTTCATTGTGTAAGAATGATATAATTCTACATAAAATATTTCAAAACATCCCAGCACTTAAGAAACAGGTAGGTAATCTCTGAATTTGAAGCCAGCCTGGTCTACATAGTGAGTTCTAGGCCAAGCCAGAGCTAGAGACTCTGTCTCAGTAACAAACCACCATCACCACCACCAGAACACAGAATGTGGTCCTTTCTGAAAGAAGCAGTAGTGTCCCCGTGAGGTAAGGGCTGCAAACTTCTTTCAAGTTTGAGGAACTTAACCCAAGCTTGTCACACAAGCCAAGCATTTACTCTACTACTCACCCACACTCCCACATTTTTAAAAAACAAAATAAGGTCACTAATTGCTGCTCTTGCATACACACTTATACTCTTTTCTCTTTCCATCGATAGATAATTTTTCTTTTTCCTTCTAGCACTTATTTACATTATGATCACATATCCTACGTACAATTATAATTCTTTTCTCTCCAAATGCCATTGCAATGTTAAGTTCTATTCCTGTTCATTATAAATTTCATAAATATAATCTTTTTTACTCTCTTTGGTTTTTCGGAACATAGTTTCTCTGTGTGGTCCTGGCGGTCCTGAAACTCACTCTGTAGGTGAAGATGCCCTTGATCCCCCTGCCTCTGCCTCTGAGTGCTAAGATTAAAGGTATGCACCACCACTGCCTAGCAATATAAATACAATCTTTGAATGGTTACACAATTGCTCAATTAAATGGATGGCTTAAAATTTATTAAGCAATTCTCTTACTACAGGATGTTTAGATAACTCCCAAATTTCCTCTGTGTAAGTTAGGAAGTCATCAGGAGCAGTTCTCTATGTATGATGTGAGAAAAAGAAAACTTTGCCTTTAGTATACAGTATTTTAGATAGCAAAAATTTGTTTTAAATCATTTTGAGACAGGGCCTCACTATGTTGCCCAGGTTGGCCTCAAACTCCAGGCCTCAAGCATCTAGAGAACTGGGCTCATAGGCATGAAGCACTGAGCTGAAAATATGTATTTGACTAGACTACAAAAATACTAAGGGTACTGTGTTTCCTTAAAAGTAACTTATAGGGAGCTGAAGAGATGGCTCAGTGGTTAAGAGCAATGATTGCTCTTTCAGAGGATCAGGGTTCAATTCCTAGTACCTCACAGCTATCTATAAATTCAGTTCTAAGGGACTCAACACCCACACACAGACAATATGTGTAGGTAGAATACTAATGCACATAAAATAAAAATAATTTTTTTTAAAAAAAGTAACCTATAGCACCAGGTGTTGGTGGCCTTTAATCCCAGCACTGAGGAGGCAGAGGCAGGTGGATCTCTGTGAGTTTGAGACCAGCCTGATCTATAAGAGCTAGTTCCAGGACAGCCTCCAAAACCACAGAGAAACCCTGTCTCAAAAAATCCCCCAAAAAAGAGAGAGAGAAAAAAAGGTAACCTATAGTATCATAAAAGTTTACTATACCAAGTTTCTCTGTTTTTTTCTTTAGCTTCTCGTTCATATTTCTCAAGTGTCCTTTTGTCGACCATTCCAGTCAAATACCTGAAAACAGTTAAAGACAAAAAAGAAGTACACACTCAGTACAGTAAGGAAAACGCTGAAGTATTTGAAGGGAACCTGAATGACTATTTAAAAAAGAATTACATTCATTTATTTATGTGGAAGTCAGAGAACTGTTTGCAACAGTCAGTCTTCCTCTTCCACCAAGTGGGTTCCAGGGACTGAGTCCAGGCAGCTCACAATCACCCATTATCTCCAACTCCAGGAGAGACAACAGTCTTTTCTGGTCTCCTGGGACACTCCTATACACATACATTTTTTAAAAGGGAAGGAGCCTGGAGAGATGGTTCAATGGTTAAGAGCACCTGCTGCTCTTGCAGAGGACCCAGGTTTGGTTGCTAGCACCCACAAGGGAGCTCACAACTCTCTGAAACTACAATTCCAGGAGATCTAACACCCTCTGTTAGCCTGCTCAGGTACTTGCACATATATATATATATATATATATAAAAAAAAAATACAAGGAGGCACACACATACATACACATGAATACAAATAATTTCATTGTTTTTTATAGATTACTAAGGCCATAAAGGAAGGAAAACTAGAAATGTTACAGATTAAAAGCTGTGGAGATATAATAGAGCTATACTGCTGGGCATTGGTGGTGCACGCCTTTAATCCCAGAACTTGGGAGGCAAAGGCAGGTGGATCTCTGTGAGTTCGAGGCCAGCCTGGTCTCCAGAGCAAGTGCCAGGAGAGGCTCCAAAGTATACAGAGAAACCCTGTCTCGAAAAACCAAAAAAATAAATAAATAATGATAATGCTATATTATATATAATTCAAGAACATAAAAGATCTGTTTTTTAATTTTTAAAATGAGCATCAAATGTCCTATTGATGCTAAGTTGCATTTCAAACTTGCCAGGTATAGGTGACACCCTGCAGGCAGGCAGGCAGGCAGGCAGGCAGGCAGACCAACCAACCAATGAAACAACTACCACCAAAAATGAACTCAGAGATCCACCTGCCTCTGCCTCCTGAGTGCTGGCACTAAAGGCATGTGCCATCATTACCTGGCTTTTTTTTTTTTTTTTTTTTTTTTTTTTTTTTTTTTTTTAAAAACCCTTGTTCCTTGGTTTTTTTTTTTTTTTTTTTTCTTTTTTTTTCTTTTTGTAAACAGTGCTGAGGACTCAACCGAAGACCTTATGTATGGTTGGTAAGTTAGTGCTCTTAACACTGACTTATATCCCTGGCCCTAGTTCTCCAGTTTTGATTACCATATCATAGTTTATGTATGATTTTCACATTAGGATAAACTAAATGAAAGGACTCTATTGTTTCTGCTATCTTTCTGTAAGACCAACACATATGTACCCACATGCATATGAACATGTAAGACAAGACATTTTCATATTAAAGATTCTTTAGTACATATTAAAGATCAGTAAATATATATCCGCTAATACATATTTTATATACATACATATATAAATTCTAATGTGTAAGTAGAGTTCTGACAAATGACTTTTCAAAGTGAGATCACTTTAAAATAGCTTGTCAATGTGAAACTATTGTCTGAATAGCTCACTAGTAATGCCTGCTCATTTTTATTCAATCCAATCAGATTACCTACATAATCACCTACAGTATGATGTTCTTCAGTCTGAATATAAAAACAAAAGTGAAAAGGCCACCCTAACTACAGCCCATCAACAAAAATCATACTGTCTACAATACCATCAAATAGGCATAACAACTGCAACCACAGAACCTCATTAGCTACCTAAAGATGTCTGTTTTAAGGACATTTTCAGGAGCAACAACAGAAGGATTACCACTGAGAACTATCAACTAGGCAACACAACAGCATGCCATTAGCTCCCCTGATAATCAAGTTTGAACAGATCCAAATTTTGAGAAGAAATCACCCTTTTATTAATTACAAAGATATATCAAATTGGGAAGGTACTTCAGTAGGTAGTTTACTGCACAAGCCTTCAGATCCCTGGACCCCAGACACAGTAGCACAAATGTATGTAATCCTCATCCTTTTATAGGGCACAGGAAGCTGGGAGGTATGCTAGACAGTTAGCCTAACATACACAGCACCAATAAGAGACCCTAGCTCAAACAAGAAGGAAGGTCAAGACTGAGGAATCCCTTTGTCCTCCATGCTTACAATATGGCATGCATGCGCTCCCCAAACACACACAAATATACACACATGCAAAAAGATTTTTACAAAACTGTCATTACCACAATAAATTACTAGAGGTCAGTCAATGTCTTTGCAAGTACGTAGTTTGTATAAAATGGTAAAAATTGGGCTGGGGTAATAGCTCAGTGGTTACAGCACTTGTCACACAAACATGAGAACTGGAGTTCAGATCCTCAGAACCCATTTAAATGTCAGGTGGGAGAGGCAGGTCTGCCCTGTCTGTTAGTCCAGCCTCACAGGCAAAGACAGAATCCCAGAGTAAGATGATCAGTGAAATTAGCCAAATCAGGGAGCTCTGGGTGTGACTGAGACCCTGCCTCATCGAATAAGACCCTCAATCTTGGGTCTCTGCATGTAAGCAAACATATATGCAGACCGACACACATGCACACATTCAGACTGTGAAGAACATCATACTGTAGGTGATTATGTAGGTAATTTGATTTGGATTGAATAAAAAACAAGCAGGCAACAAGAACACTTATAATACATGAAATTTATCCAATCAGATTAACTCTACCATTAGATAAAAGAGACTTACATTATTTGTCCTCCAATAGTTGACTTTCCCGCATCTAAAAGGAACAACAAAAATATGGGAACATAAGTTAAAAACAACCAATATATACAAATAAAACTGCAGGGACTTTTTAGCATATACAACCAAGTCTCACAAAAGCAAATGAACTGTAATGGGAATTTCATGAAATTCTAGGGACCCTCTCCCACATATAATGAATAAGGCTAAGATTCCCCAATGATGACTGAGAAATACAGGGTTTCTCTGTGTAGCTCTGGCTGTCCTGGAACTTACTCTGTAGACCAGATTGGCCTCAAACTCAAGAGATCTGCCTGCCTCTGCCTCTAAGTCCTGGGGTCAAAGGCTTGTTTCACTTTAGGAAACAGGATAGGCATTCCTTTACAAATTTCAAAGTTATTCTTTTCTAAAAGGAGTGACATATCAAGAGGGAGGTAGGTCAAGCATGGCGGGGTACATATGCAATCCTAGAACTCAGGGGGCTGAGGCAGAAAGAATAAGGGCTGAAGGCCACAGTGTATTATACAGTGAGTCCCTGTCTCAAGGTGCAGGGATAACACAGAATTCAGTATTTTCTTTTCACAATCTGGTAAGTCAGAAATCATATAATTAAGCAAGGTCTTATTTGTTTGGCTAAGCCAGTTACTTGGCAAGCATTCAAAAGCTACTCTAAATTACTAATTCCCTATTTCATACAGAATTAATCTGAATAGTAACAATGTCAATCCCATTAAAAAGAACATATCAACTAAAGATAACAAAAAACATGCACATTTCTTGGATACTAAATAAAAACTATCACAATATGGCAAACCATTACCAGTGGTCTATAGACTAATTAATTACTCATTACACACTCACACTGAAGCTTATCTTTTCCAGCTTCCAAGCCACTACAAAACAGTTCATCTGCCCAAACTTAACAAAGCACTGGTCAGCTGAAGGAAGTTAAAAAACATAAAAACATCCAGGACAGCAAGAACTGTTTCACAAAGAAACCCTGTCTTGAACCATGGCCTCCAAATCAAACCAAGGAACCCCCCCAAACAAACAAAAACATGAAAACAGTCAGGGAGTAGTAGTGCACACCTTTAGTACCAGCACTCAAGAGGCAGAGAACGTGGATCTCTGAGTTTGAGGCCAGCCTGGTCTACAAAGTAAGTTCCAGCACAGCCAGTCCTACATTGAGAAACCTTGTCTCGTAACAAACGAGCAAGCAAGCAAACACCCAAAGCACTTTATATGCGACCCTGCAGTCAACTCTCAGTACATGTGTACAGAGGATTTTAGATATTTCAAGACTCTGACTCAGTTTTACTCAACAACTCCAAGGAGCTAAACAAGATGCTCTACACTCTGATGTCTCCAATAACACTTGTCATTGTTCATGAGCTCTATGAGGACAACTTACCAACATGCCCAATGAATACTACATTTACATGTTCTTTCTTAGGAGCACCTGGCGGTGCCACCACCGACTTAGGTTTTGGTATTTCTTCTTCCTCTTCCATCATTTCTTGGGTATTTTCCTCTGGTGGCCTTCCATCTCCTGAGGAACCACACCCTGGCTCTGCTTCACTTATTTCTTCTTTGTGCTCCCATGATTCTTCTGGGGACATTTCTGTCTCTCCATTTTCTACTGAAGAAAGGTATTTTAACTTAGTATCTTGAAAAAGACCTGCCTGCACTTTAAAGTCTTTAAAGCGGCAAATACAAGTACTTAGGTTCCTCTCCTGACACCTGTGACAGAGGCAGAGAGGGGTGGGTTTTCAAGCTAGCCTCATTGCTGATAGCAGAGTCAGAGCCTATACCACAGCACACAGCTATACAAGCATGGTGTTCATTTCCTAAGGGTAGACTAAATAATGGCAAGAGAGCCATCATTTCCAGCACCCTCTATTCC